CAAAATACCGATGCTTTTAACCTTCGTGCCGAAATTAGTCATTCCGGACTTGGCAACCCCAGTTAATCACATTGAACACTACGCGATGCAGAAGAAGTATCATGATCGAACACTTAACATGTAAATTTCCATTGCGTTTAAAGTAATTATTTGTCGTACTGACATTGCAGCTCGTTTTTACCGAATACGTGTAATTACAATTTAATATCGCGGCGATGAGTCGACGCTGCTGAAGCCACATATTCATTACATCACACATGCAGTTCTCCTTGGTTCAATCACTTCCTTTCTTTTCGTATAAACAAGGCTTACTCACAGTTGTGAAGGCTCGCCTCGACGATAATGATTCTTCGTGCACGAGGTGTGCCGCGGGCTGATACCGTGCGCGCACCTGTTAATTGTTCTTGTGTAAGTAACAGTATTTACTACTGTAAGTTCTTGATTAACTCTCGTGGATAACCTTTGACCATTTTTTCAACAGGGAGAGGAGCTTTAGAATACAGGCTTCGGCTTAGTTTAGGCTCCAGATTTCCTACATACTACACATGCAATATCATAACAATATCTTTGTCTTCATTTGCCTTTTCATAGGCTATTTCATTTTAGTCTATACAGAATTAGGGTGTAAAAAATTAAAATTATTTGTAATTGGGTCATTAAATTAATATTTTAAATATACTGCTCGTAATTCCTGGTATCAAAAATCAAAAATAAAAAAGTATAGCGAATTAGATAGAAGAATTCCTAAATTAACTTTGGATTTTAATTTAAATTAAGTGCTAGTGTTTATCAAATATATTTTTTTAAGTTAACATAAGTACTTCAGTCGTGTGGTTACGGAAAAGGGAAACTCACCAGCTTATCAATTCGTTTCCTTGTGTTTACGTATTAGTTGTAATGTATATAAATTTCAATATGTAAAATGCTAAAAATATAACATGACTACCGATAAAAACTATTATCTGGTATTACTGTGGTAAAACCCTAGACTTAGAATATACTAACGTAGGTCCACACCGGCAATGGCGAGCAGTATCAACGGCAAGAGATATCTGGAGCTGCGATAGCCATGCAACCAGCGTGACTTTCCATGCTTCCGACTACAGGAGGGGGTACTACCCCTCTTGTGTTCTGTTTAGATTATGATGAGTAAAACTAAACTACAAGCTTTACTGTGTGCTGTTTGTAGATATTTTGCTCATTGAAGTTGTAACCTACACATATACAAATTGTTTCTTAACGCAGATTCCGCTAGTTTTGGAGCGTTTTAAATAAGATTGGTAATAAATAATAGTAATATTATTTATTACCACTCTTATTTAAATTTAGTATATAAATAAAAGTAAAAGTAACATATTTAATCATAACATTTGAAAAGCGATATTTGCAAATAATTTCAGAAAACCGATGTAAAGAATAAATACAATTAAAATATTTGAAAGCAAAGGCTAGCCCCAACAATAATATATCGATAACGTGACGTACCTGTGTATTGTGATTGCGTGATTGCCGCAGGCTGCAGGCTGAGAGCATACGTGCGCTTTAATAATTATTTACTTGCCAGCAGAATATCCAGCGTCGTAGAAATTGCACTGCAGCTGTATGATGTCTACAGAAAGAATGGGTCAGCTAGAGTGGGTAAAGGTATGCTCTCCCAAATCGCCAGCGTAAAGTAACATCAGAAAGTTTTTTTTATGGAATATGGGTGACAAACTAGCCTACAGTCAACCTGATGCTAAGTGAATGCTGTGGCCCAAAGACACCTAGATCTACCTTTAATTAAGAACCAAAATGCAGATGTTCCAAGCCGAGCTTCCATGCCCAGCCTTCGGCTACACGCATCCAGATGATCCTTGCCACTTTTAATTTTGCGCTGCCTGCTTCGTTATCGTCTATACAATAAAACAAATTGCGAATGTTCTTTTGGCGATAGTGCCCGATAATGTTCCTGGCGTCGAACCCGCATTGTTAGCCTTGATAATGTGTTTAACTTTAATTTTAAATAATGTTACGTGCATACTAGGATTTTCTCCTGTATACGGGTGGCAGTTTACATACATAAATTTCACAAGGACAAATATCCAGAACGGTACAATTATTAGTAGGTCATACTATTACTTGTTCCGTGCGGAATTCGAATCCGCCGTCCTTAGCGCAGCCTTTCATTGGTAAGCCGCTGCACCACGGAGCCGTCAAATTTCGGATCGGATTTGACCGAGTGAAGCCGACCACAGTCGAGCGTGTGCCTGCTATATAATATATGTTAGAGGAGTCACAAACAAGGTTGGCTATATCTTGAATTGAGCTTCTATTAAAAAATACTACAAGCCGCAGAAGAAGATAAGCTTTTTAGCATCCATCAAGTGTAAACCCTTCTACAAGATGAAGGGATGTACGAGCCAGATTGTGAATGTGGTTTCTCTTACGTACGAACTCTTATACGAACATACAGCTGACGGGAAGCACCGATCCTCCGGAAGGCTGCTCAAGATCACGCGGGGCCATTGAAATTAAAAAAAAATCCTAATATCAATAGAGAACATGGATTAGATAGATGGATGCTGCCATCTACTTTGGATCTTAGAATTTAAAACTAAAATCCAAACCCAAGCATGCCACTGCAAAACTTCAGGATATTATAAGCTCGTTTTGCCACAGAATAAATAATAGTACTATTATGCGTACATCGGACCAAAAATTAATATGAAAGTAGCCGGGCTAACTATGACATTGGGACGTCAAACATCTCAGTATCCTCTTGTACCGTGGGTGCTGTAAAGCACCTGAAACGTCGGAAATTAAAAATAAGTCAAATAAACGCAACAACATCCGTGTAAATTGTTTTATTTAATACCCTTGTATGGTTATACTGAATTTACTTAGTGAGTTATAACTATGATTTTATGGAGATTATCGGTGGACAACTGTCACATAAAATGTGATGTTTTCCGATAATCTTAAAATTCAGTTACAAGAGAATGTCGAGCACATCAATCACTGCATGATTTTGGATTGAAATAAAGGAAACGTATATAAAACAAACAAATCGTACATATAATAAAACGTTTTAACTTTTTGAAATATAAAACACATAAGCTGTACTAATGAAAGCGAGACTTTACAAATAAGTTAATACACATTAAATACATCACATAAACTACAATGTGTACTGCAGGACTATAAAAATATTCAAGTCAGCGCACGCCTCCATAAGTAGCTGTCGGCACTCAAGTCTACTTGACCCGCATCCGCGCTGTACATCGTGCCCTCGTTCTAAGACTGTTTTTTATGCCGAGGGATTGCATCTATGTGACTTACTCGTAATATGCTCGTAATACTTATTACCCACATTATACAATAAAAACTAATTTCCACATGTATGACAGATCATCATGTGAGAACGGCTGGATCGTTTTTGGGACCTTGAAATTTTACTTGGTATTGGTATATAAAAGCCAGGAATAATTACAAACTACTTGTCTGGAGGTGCTACCGCTCGGCAGGCGGACGTACTCTTACAGTCGCAGTGCGGCGCCTCGCAAGTTTGACGATGCTTCTCATCACCGGTCAGGATATTTTACGCCTGGCGTAAATAATTTGGTTATACCGCCATCAATATAAATCCACAAGATCTTATTATGCAGGTATTTTCGCAGCCGCTTCTCACGTCATCACCACGCGGCACATTCTGCTATATGCCAAATGAAAAATGCTCAAATTAGCGACGGGGTGCCCATTGCCCATCAAAGGCGCGAAACTACTGACATTCTAGTCGTTATCCTTCCTATTGTATTTATTTATTTAAGCTCTGTTGTGCAAAATGTACACAGCTAGATTGTTTTTTTGTTTAAAAAAAAACCTTTGAATCCACTGTTGGATGTAAGCCTTTTCAAAAATACGCTTCCCATACTGATGATCGTGATCAGACGAGTTGATGAGTTCAGAGTCGGTACTACAGTGGACCCCTGGTAATCCGGCCCCTGTCTAATCCGACACCCCCTGTAATCCGGCATGGTCTATTATTTATTATTGAATAATTTTTTGACAATCTTCGCTAATGCATGATTGAACAAGTTACAACTTATACCCCCACCACTATTGTGCTCGACGCGTAGTAAATTATTGAACTTCAACATAATCAGCCTCATGATTTCCTTTTTTTTCAAATTACGATTGGCCATCTCTCCCGTAGAGATGGCCATAGGGGCAAGGGATAGATTGCCAGTTTATTAACCAGCATTTCAACCACTCTTTTCCTATAGGTTTTTGAGTCTTAGCTTATTCTTCTTTTTTGTCCATATAATGAACGCTTATCATCAAACTCGGTTTAATTTTTTGAAGCCACAATTGGCATAAAACACATTGAAGCCTGTCTTTAATAAGATGCGTTTCATAATAATGATTATGATTACCGGGGGTCCACTGTACTGTTGCAGTGCACTAAGCCTTAGATTGTGAGATTGTGTGGGTTTGTCATATTTGGATAGAATACTCGGTCGCTCGCTAGATCATCTTTTTACCGATCATCTAAGAGATAGGACTTGACGGAAAAACTGCTTGATTTCCCCTTAAACCTCTGTTGTCTAAGTGTTTGGGAGTCGTATAAATAATTTAACTTGTTTGAGAAAGCATAAGTATAACGATCAGTTTGACATCTCCCGTATATAAAACAAAAATAAGTTTACTATTAACATTTAAATATTTATAGAATGCGGGTTACAAACGAGCACACAATCCACCTGAAGGTAAGTTGATGCTGTGAAACATAGACTTCTAGATCTAGATAGATGACTAAGTCGGAATGTCTCAGCCTCATTTCAAGTTGTTGGGGTCTTCAGTTCTTTACAGTCACCACACGAAACACAGCACCATTAAGCTGTTATTTTACGCTTGTATTTTGTGAGCGTGGTTCTTCCTGTCGAGCCGACCCACTCGTGCTACAACTATGATATACCTGTAGCTTGGCTCTACTATGTATGACATAACGTGTGCGTGTGCAGGAGGACGTGGCTCGGCGGAGTCCAGGTCGAGAGCGCTACGAGCAGCGCTGCGACAGCTCCGGGACGCCTGGCCCGAGCCCTACACTACTGGAGACCGGTGAGTGCCCAGTGTCCAGCACTTACCGCGCGCTGTACTTGCACTTCAGGTTTATCGTTCACCTATTCGATATAAGTCTTGTAATTTAACATTTTTAAATTAGTTGCATGGATTTAACACGTACCGTTATAATAACGAAAATCAACGATATCAATCGATATCATTGTTAACTCATTTACGTAAAACTAGTTTTTACCCATTTTTTTACGTTTGGCGCACTTTACAGATCTCATATTCTAAGGAGAGGGGGAAGGAGGAGGAGTGAGGTGTTCATTGTCCCAATATCATGGTTAACCACGGCTGCTTTTAGATTAAAAACTTATTTTGAGGGATTTCGTATCTCCTTATAAAACCTAAACTAATTTACTCCCTTGTGCACCATCCTGTCCATCTATAAAATTTTAACTTTTTCCCAGAATGGGTTAAAGTACCAAATTGAAATTAATATCAAGTACTAAGGTTCCTTGGAGTTGTAAGAAAATTAAGCTTCTAAGCCAACACAGTCAAAAGATACGGCCATTTATGTAAAAATTTTTGATATTCGCAAACTTATTCATCGAAACCGAAATAGGTGTACGTTACGTTGACCTAGACTTTGATTCATAAATTTGGCAAGCGAGGTCTTATAGTACAAATAAGTAAATATAAAAATCCGACAAAGAATTATTTGTAGTTATATTAACTAACAAAGTAATAATTGCCTTTAATTTATAAATTTCAATAAGTTATTTAAATTAATTAATAATTATTATTTATTTGTGTGCTCTCGTTGTGGGGAGGATATGCTCTAATCCTTATGCTTTGGGGGGAGCAACTATCCCCCCAGTACCAGACTCTTCGCACTTTTGACGCTACCGGTCGTCGCCGGTACAAGTATTTTACGTTGAGATGGTTATACTGCCATCTTTTCGTATCCGTAAGATCTTTTTTTTCGGGCTGGTGACGATGATGTTGATGAATAATTTTGGTAGTTAACTAACTGCTCACACTCATATAAGTTAAATTACAGCATTCGTGTGTCGTTAGTAAAAAGAGGCAAAAATCGTTGAGATTCTTGATTCTCGAAATTGACCTATTTTCATACGTAATTAAGTTTATACGAATTTTTCAGAACTTGAGTCCTGCTTGCACTTGCGATTGAAACAGGTTTAAAAAATGTTATATAATAATATTATAATAATATTATAATATTATAATAATACTATAATATTATAATAATATTATAATATAATATTATAGTAACAATGCACATTAAATTTATTGGCTATAAGCCAAAAGCCTTTACAAATGCACATAGTATACTGTGTTGTAATGCGTCGCAGTACGTAATAGTGCACGCACGTCGAATGGGAATATATAACACATTGGATGTATTTGCTTGCGTATTATATTGCAATTAATGAAGGTTTAAGGAGTTTACAAATATTGTTTACATGTTATGAGTAAAAGAGAGTCATATAATATAATAAATGTAGTAAACAAATGCCACAGTATCGCGGAGTACCTACGTACTCTTAGATGTTGCGTTTCATTCAACGCTCTGCGGCACTGCGCACCAGCTTTTATCATTTTTATTTGCAAGTACAGTTGCTGCTATGACTAGCAAGTGTATTCATTACACGTTAATGATTTCCTAGAAAAATAAATTTTGTAAAAATATGGAAATTATAAATATTTTAATTCAAAATTATTATAATGTGTCTATTAAATAATGAAATAAACGTCTTTCTTTTATTCCGAGTCAGTCTTCTGAGACCATATTCAAAATATTTACATAAATTAGCGTTGAACCAAAACATTTCATTAAAAATAATTTTGTTAGAATTAGTTTCGTACTTACAAATATAGGATGGTATTTGCATATAACATTAATGTTTTACTGCGTCGACTATTGCTTTCAAAAACAACGCGATAACGAGTGAGCTGGTCCCGCACGGGTGACGGCAGCGTGTCGTACAATAAATATTCATTTGAAACTTTTATATTCTTTCTTTTGAAAACTAAACACACTAAAAATCTCTTCTAATCATTGGATTAGTAAGTATACGAAAACCCACAAAACATCTGTCTGTTTTGTGCAATGTGGATACGTGTTAGAGCTATGCTGCAGTTATATTAGTATAGTATACTAGTAGTTATAGCAAGAATGGGTTGTCTCGACCGAGACGGGACCACGCTCTCACAGAATACTAGTATATGTTTCGTATGGTGAGCGTAGAGAACCGGTGACCCTTTTAACTGGAAACGAGGCATTTTATCTTAGTTCTCACGGGTGACAACGCATCTGCATTTTAATTTGTAATCGAGGACTGATGTTGATGTCTATGGACCACAGCATCCACTTACCATCAGGTTCACTGTGTGCTCGTTTGTCACCCTATTCCTATAAAAAAATCACCATACGAGACCCAACAGCATTAAGTTGTTATTTTACGCTGGTATTCTGTGAGAGCGTGGTCCTACTCCAGTGGAGCCGACCCGTCCGTGCTATAACCGAAATATTGCTGCAGATTGGGTTCGTAAAATAATATAATTATAATATTATTAACATTAACATACTAAATTATGTGAAAAGTAACACGCTCACTGATATATAATTTATAATAAATGTACGTAACATTCACCAACAAATGTACATATCCTTACACTTAGTGTAAAAATATAATTGGATTAATAAATTACTACAGGTACACCCATAGATTAGTGTGTATGTACAGAGGTGACCGGTGTCAATCAAATCAATAAAAATGATTGGAACAAAGACGGAATGAAACATTTATTGCAATCACGTCAATCACGTACTGAGGTGTTTGAGATTTTGAAATTTATTGCACCACTACAGGTTCAGGTTAAATTACATAAGTTTTCAAAAATATTTTTATGTACATTATGTTCGTATCTGGGTGACATTTTTCGGTAACCATTTCAAAATCATAAAATTATATACTTTTCTATATGATATAAAACAGCAAATCAATCAATCAATCATCCAATCTATCAGATGTAGGTAAGCTTGCGGGAGTCTATATTTTTTGTCAAATATGTTTTTTTTTTATAGGATAGGGTGACAAGCGAGCACACAGTCCACCTGATGGTAAGTGGTTGCTATGGCCCATAGACATCTACATCTATCCTCGATTACGAATCAAAATGCAGATGCGTTGTCACCCGTGAGGACTAAGATGGAATGCCTCGTTTCTAGTAAAAAGGGTCTCCGGTTCTCTACACTCACCATACGAAATACAGCAGCATTAAGCTACTATTTCACGCTGGTATTCTGTGAGAGCGTGGTCCTTCCCCGGTCGAGCCGACCCATTCGTGCTACAACTATACTACTAATATAACTGCAGCATGGCTCTACCACGTATAAAATATGTATTGGTTTTCAAATGCTGACATCGTCAATAGTAACTGATTTCGACAAAATGTTTCTCATCAATCAATCAATCCGTGGAAAATGCCAGTAATCTAAGAAGAACCGTCTGTGAAGCAGGGAACACAATTATATTTAGGGAATATAATGATTCGATTGACTTTTTAAAATAATTAAACATTTGCATGGCGGCGTTATTTAAATTTCATGTAACCAAGAGCTTTACGAGAAAGGTAATTAGAGCATGACGTTGTCTCGACTCCCGACCACGCATGCACCTCGCCCGACTTCGGGTTTCCACTGAACAGCGTATTTTCCGTAGCCGTATCGTTTACGGAGTAACCATTACATAATCTGTGGTATTGTATGTATAATTAAGTTGTAACGCTGGTGCATCGCGGACCTGCAACAATGGCTGTTTGCGCACGCGCTCGTCTTTACCTTGCCTTTGTTCTAGACCTTTGTTGTAAGCGAGTAGAAGGTGACGTCACGCGCCTAGGAACATCTGCATATTATAATTTTCTTGTATGTGGAATATAACTTTACTTACATTGCGCATTACAAGAACTTGGAGTCAAAATACTTCAGCAGCAGAGCATTAAGTGGTTCGATGCAGCTTCTCCAACCGATTAAGCGTTACAACTTCAAAGTAGCGCATTTTATATTTAAAAAAAATAAGTGTAACAATCGAGTCAATTTGATGATAAGTGGATCCTATGGCCCAAAGACATCTACATTTATTCTCGATCAAAAATCAAAATAAAGATGCGTTGCCACTCCTGAGAATAAAGATGGAATGCCTCGTTTCCAATAATAAGGATCTTCCTTACAACAGCATTAAGTTCGTAATTTACGTTGGTATTCTGTAAGAGCGTGGTCCTTTCCGGTCGAGCCGCCCCATTCGTGCTACAACCATAATATAGCTGCAGTATGACTCTATCACGTATATAATTTAGACAAAGTTTCATAATTCATCCTTCACGGTTGAATAAATTCGTCAATATCCAATCAAATGTACCAGATACTTATGCGATTATATATTTTATGACGAGTGTCAGTGTTAGATATCCAGAGATACTATGTTAGTCCATTTGTATCAGAACAGGAGAGTTGTGGTAGCTTTTAGAATTCTCTGATCGGCTGTGGGACCTAATATTGAATGCATAGGGAATTTTATTAACAAACTTACTCAGTGACAGGGAAATCACGCAAAAAAAAAACCGCTCTACATACATAATATTATATTTAGATATAAACTGGAACAATAATCTATTTTTATAAGCAGAATATCCAACAGACTCGTTGTTGTTGTCTGTTAGTAAAAAAAGTTCGTCGTGTTGTTAAATCTATTTGATGAAATCATAATATTGTACTTTCATGTTTAATAAGTTAGTTCACATTTTGAACAACTTGTTAATAACCAGACCTGATTGTATTAAATCTATTTGATGAAATCATAATATTGTACTTTCATCTTTAATAAGTTAGTTCACACTTTGTCCAACTTGTTAATAACTACTAACTTGTTAATAACTGAGCGACTGGAGGCGAATAATTTGAGGTCATCCATATAGAAAAGGTGGGTCACTTTTGTACCTCCTTTCCGAAGCTGAAATCCCCACCCGGA